CCCCCCCCCAGTGTTTTTTCTCACCGCGGTATCTTCTTCAAAAGCGACGGAGGACGTGTTAAGAAGGTGCAAGAATATCGCCGATAAAAGCTGGCTCCCCATTGATGTCCTCCGAGTGTCACAAATTTGGCAGCAGCTCGTATCATATTGAACTAATCGCGTGGCTTTTTTCCCCCGAAAAAGCTTCCAATAACAAAAACACGGGAAAATTAGATGAAAAAATTACAGGCACGGGAGCACCATTCTCCTTTTTCTTTTTACGAGACCGAACGCACACTACAGCGCGCTGTAATTGTAACAATTATAATTGAAAATCTCAAAATTAAATTAATCATGAATTAAATTTTCCGCCTCAGACGATGGGAACCAATGAGGAATAAGGGTGACAGACTTGCGAGATGTCGATAGTTATCGACTTTAAGTGTTCTTTTTAGAATAGGAATAGGACCCAATCGGCAAAAAGACGAATGGCCTCTGATTTTCATCATAATACAGCCATTTTTATAAATTATTCAGCAATATATTCCCCAATGGACATTTCGCAAATCATTTCCTTGTAAAATATCGTTTCACATTGTGTTTAATCGAATCACATTCATTCTTCAACAGAAAGAAAACTTTTTTCATGCATAATCGCGTCAGATTTGAAGAACTAATCGGAAAATAGATTTACAAAAAGGAAAATCAAAATTTCAAAAACTATCGCATGAATCTAGGGTAAACTGCCCATTAGATGGACGTCTGAGAAAACCGCCCAGTAGATGGACGTTTGTTTTTTACCAATTGAAAAAAAAAATTGATCGAAAAAAAATCGTCACTCAGGGGTTAAGAATCACAACAGTTCGTGAAAATTCAAAGCAACAATTCACATTTCAGTATTTTTTTGCGTAATTTCCTATCTACTGGGTAGCTTACCCTACCTAACTATCGTTATCATCTTCGAACCCTGTCAAAGTCTCACAAACGTGGCAGCAGCTCGTATCACACTGAACTAATCGCGTGTCTCTCTTTCCCCCGAAAAAACCTTCCAATAACAAAAACACGTGAAATTAGATAAAAAAAAAATTGAAGCCACAGGAGCGCTATTTTCCTTTCTCTTTTTACCCACTCTGCAAACGGCTCTTTTCTGGCGCATTGAGAGGAAAAAAAAGGAGGCGAATGGACACAGTGGAGAAGCGACAGACGAATTGAATCCGCCAATTGTTCGATAGTCGAGCGGGTCTGACTGTTATTTTTATAATTCAACGAGCTTCGCCCTCTTTCTCTTCCCTTCACTTCTTTCCTTTTTTTTTCTCTCCCCCTCCCGACACAATCCCTCCATCATTCGCGCGCGGCCCTACACACACCGAAATATGCGAGGAAGAATGAGACAGGAGGAGTGTTGTTTTTATTGGCCCACGTTTAGGGAGCGTATAGCCTGCACCACTGAAAACGGGGTGTGTTGTTTCATCCCCCTTCTCTCATTCCTCTGTCTTCCTCTATCCCTTCATTCTTCTGGCGTATGCACTCCTCTGTCTCTCGATTTTTGCTGTGATGCCGCTTCAGCCGAAATCCCCCCGCCCCCCCCCCCCCCTCCCCCCGCTCTCCTCTCTCGCTCCTCTCATCCAGTACAGTTTCCTAGGATAGAGATGTTGAGAGCACGATGGTGACGAGCAACGTTTCTACGGCACCCATATAACGCCCTGGCGAATATATACCGGTGAAAACCGTTGACAATACCAGTCAGTGTTATTCCAGCACGAATTTACTTCTCCTTGGGCCTCTTCCCTCAACTTTCCGGGGCACGGTGGAACGTGGTAACGTTTGAGAAATCTTCAACACCCGCAAAACCAAAACAGAAATGTCTTTTCATTCCGCGATGGCTGGGAGAATTATTGAGGTGGGCTTTGTCGGGTTGACAAAGTTATTGTTAAGTTGACAGGATTTTTAGTGTTATTTTTTAGTGATAAAGTAAATATTTAGAGGGACATCGGTGAATGGAGCTTGACGGGTTTATTGGGAGGACGTTTACGTTGAAATTCACACGATTTTTCGGGGATTTCGGTATCACTGGATTATGGAATCTAAGCTGGAAGATTTTCTAATAAAAAATAAAAAATGTTTGATAGACAATTTTGGAATGCCATTGAATATATTGAAATTCGTGCGGGAGGGAAACATTCGAGAAGTCTTCAAAATTCGCAAAAAAATTATTTTTAGAGTTTCACGCGATTTATTCGCTATCTGTGATTATCGAATTGAAGTTGAGACATTTCACTCTACACGGAGAGAAAAATTCAATAAAAATTATCAGAAAAAAACGAAAAAATTACGTTTCGAAACGTAATCCGCGAGCGAAGTAAAATTCAATAAAAAGTGTGAGTCGGAGCTGAAATTGTACGAATCGCCACGTAAATTCTACGATTTGGTTCCTTAAAAATTAACCACCCGTCTGATGACTCACCGCTGTGGGAACAACAAGGCGTTCCGTAATTTTTCCCTGTTAAACGTTCAAGAATTTTTTATTTTGGAGGCATAATATGTCGGCAAGTTTCACTGAACGTTTACGATTTCTTCTCTTCCATTCCTATAAAAATTTCCGGAAAACGATTTCCCATGGCGAATTACGTAAATTGTTCCGTAATTCCGGAGCGAAATGTGATTGTATGAAATTTTACGGAACTGTCACGGAATTTTTCGGAAGCATTCCGTAATTTTTATTTGAATCTCCAGTGAAAAATTACGATACCGTCACGTAAATTTTCTGAGTCGATTCCGTAATCGGTGAGTGAATTGTGAGTTCCGTAATTTTTACTGAACATTTCTCTCCGTGTAATAGACTCAAAAAATTTTGAAATGTTTCGAAATATCTTGAAATTCTGTCGACGACATATTGTCGATGACAATCCATAAAATAGGCTCTTCAATTCCTCTTCCGGGTGTTAGAGCACAGTCTAGTTTTCTTTGTGCCTGAAATACACCCTCGGATCCTGCACGATGTTGGCATCTGTAATAACAAGCCTTGCTCTTCCTTTTGCTCCCCCTATCGAAGCGTTTTTACGCATCCACTGATTAGCCAGTCTCCCGCTGAACTTCCCTCCCCAAGACACGAATTACAAGAAATTCTTCTCACTCGAAATCCACGATTCAAGGTAGCAAGATGAATGGATGTTTTCGAGGGTCATATCTCGTTTACTGAATGAATCGCGTGTCGGCGCTTGGGGTAGTATTGTTTTGGTTATTTTGGCAAACCTAAGACAACATCACTCTGTTGTTTAACAAAATAAATGATTTTGTCGCGTCGTCTCGCACCTACTGTCAACCCATCCCTCGTGAGCCCTCTCCTTTCATATATAAACGAGGCCGCTGTATGCATATACACCAATCTGCTACTTAGTCCACTGTATCAAAACAAATTTCATCCGGTTTATTTGTTCGGTTCAAATTTAGTCAAGCGAATCGCTCAATTTTTCCCTTTTAAAGCCTTAAACGAATGAATTTTAATCAATACTAATTCATGGAGAAGAAAATTTTTTTATTTTCAGTGATTTATCCCTAATTTTGAGGAATCTATCGCCAATTTTTAGGATTTCACGATTGTGAAATTTATCGCGTGCATTTAGCATTCGGTGATTTTGTCATTAATTTTCAGGGACTCATGTCTAATTTCCTCTATTAAAAAATTAGTGTCACCTTTTTTGTCAGCAGTCTATTTCGCCAGGGATAACCTTAAGCCTAGGGACAAGGATAATCTTTGCTTAAGATCCTAGATTATACAAATCTTTGTTTTATATTCCTTTTTAAAAAGGCATTTTCCGAATATATTTTTTTATATATATTATGATAGAAATAGAAAATTTTAAAAATATCTTTTTTAGGCCCGGTTGTACCAGCTCCGGGTGACGAAAATGTCAGATAAGAAAAAAAGTAAATTTGAATGTTCGATGGATTATTTTACTCGGGAGAGTATCTCAAATTTATCGTAAGAACGAAAAATAGAATTTAATCCCAAGGTTAAATCAGTGTTAATTCAAATGGGGCTATAGGATAAATAAAAATTATTCTTCGGGTCAAATATTGAAAAATTATGACCCCTACGATATATTGACCCCGAGGATAAATTTTACCCTGGGGTTTATTTGGATAACAGGGCTTGGTGCAACCGGGCCTAAAAGAGATAAAAAAAGATTTGTATAATCCAGGATCTTCAGCAAAGATTAACTAATGAATGGATCCTATTCTGGATACTTTATCAATTTAACTATCTTGTGACATGAAGCAATCATTTAATGTGAAATAAATAATATAATTCTAGTTGTAAAAAGTCGTGGTAAAAACATCACATTAAATTATATGTCCCTTTGATTGTTTATTGTTACTTTTATCATTTTCAAAAATAAATGAAAGGATAAAAAATACAATGAACCACTAGCTCAAGTATGCGCGCGCGTTTCTTTTCTAGTTTAGAAATCTATCATCAAATTCCAGTGATACAAATCTTTGCTTTATATTCCTTTTTAAAAAGGCATTTTCTGAATACATTTTTTTTGTATACATTATGATAGGAATAGAAAACTGAAAAATATCTTCTTTTAAAGAGATAAACAAAGATTTGTATTATCCAGGATCTTCAGCAAAGATTAACTAATGAATGGATCCTATTCTGGATACTTTATGGAACAATTTAACTATCTTGTGACATGAAGCAATCATTTAGTGTGAAATAATATAATTCTAGCTGTAAAAAGTCGTGGTAAAAACATCACATTAAATTCTATGTCCCTTTGATTGTTTATTGTTACTTTTATCATTTTCAAAAATAAATGAAAGGATAAAAAATACAATGAACCATTAGCTCAAGTATGCGCCCGCGAAGCGCGCGTTTCTTTTCTAGTTTAGAAATCTATCATCAAAATCCAGTGATAGAAATCACCGACGATTTTTGGCCTTATTCTGTCTTATTATTGTTCAGCATCACCGATAATTGGTGTATGGATAGATTCCTAAAAATCAATGGCATGTTCCTGAAAAATAATAATAAAGAAAAGAAATTTTTTTTTCTATGAAACCGAATGTTAAACTTTCCCTCATTTTTCTAAATTCTCTAATATCATGAGTGGCGTGCACTTTACGAATGGAGAACGGTGGATGAGCGGTAGAAGTCGCGGGAGTGTGAGGCGATCCATTAGGTAAGGAAACCCGCGGGCTGACGCACCCCGACACTATCAAAACACCGGGACTTAAAACTTATATTTCCCATTCGTTATGTTTACATGTGGTTGAGAGAAAAGACCGTGTGAGTGAGATAGAATAACATTCTGCAGGTTAACAGGGGAGTAAAAATATTCAGGGGTCATAGACTCCATTCCATTCATGATTTCATCTGTCATTTTCATCTCTGAAGGATTGTATTGCATTATCTATTTCTACAATTCAAATAAGCGTTCTTGGGGTGCGCATGGAGCAGCAGTGGGAAGTGTAGAGCTTCGTAAATTCAATATTCTTACTCGACTGATTCGTTGAATTTCTATTTTATCCGCAGGACTCAATTCGGAATATGTGAATTAATTATTTGTTATCCATTCACTTTCATGATCTATAAAGAGGATTAAAATGGCTTAATTAATAATTAAGTACAAATTAGTTATTCAATTACTTAATAAATGTAGAATAATTGATAATGCACTGACCTCAAACGAAATGAATAATTAATGATAAATTAAATAATTAATTTTAGTGACAATCGAATAACAATCAATTATTCAATTATTTTATTTACGAAGAATTACCGATAATGCATCGACCTCAAGAATTCAGTGAAATCTACTTTACTCCACATACTTCTCAATAATTCCATCAGATGTCCTCGCAGTTCTGTTCGACATCTACTGAATGTAAATTTCATCAGTTTTCGGAGTAAATTATTATTGCATTATCATGTGTAATGTCTGTGACAATACATTAAATTTTTTGATAATATACGAAAAAATTTTCTGTTAATTGTATTTATTGGTTAAAAATTGGAGTTTGAAATTACATTTTTGGAGTGAGAGCCCGACTATGACTGGCTTTAACCTGTACATTATTTATTATTTATTGTAAAAAGGAGATACAATGCAGAATTTACCTAAATACCCGGCTAGCCGGAATTTATTCTTGTCTCGACGACTATTGAGTACAGTAATAAAACGAGACATAAGAGAGGAGAGGATATTCAAGCTGTGGAGTCACCCTGACAATTCCAGGGTTCTTCATCGTGTATCTTATCACGTGAGTCGCATGAGAAGTCCTCAAAAACGTCGATCATTAATTAATATTTCTTTTCAATTTTTCTATTCTTTATTTTTTTTTCTTCTCAATTATTCTATTCACTAATTATTTGTCCTTAATAAACTCCTTCTTTAGGTCATTATGCGGTCACCATTAGCAATGTAAATAAATAAAAGTAAAGGAAAAAGTAACAAACAACTCCTCTGAATTTAGCGTCAACATTTCGAGAGTTAAATACTCTCCTCATCAGGGAAATTTAATTCCATCTGAATAACAAAAGTTTAGCATAAATTAAAAAAAAATCCATTTCTGTTACGCATCCAGTGAACTACCAAATATTTGTTATAATAATTAAACTACCCTCGTTGGTTTTTTTTCTTTTGTTCATTAATTTTTTTATTTAATATTTATTCAAAATTAATTATTGATTGGCACTTGCCTCTACAAAAGTGAGAGGATGAAGCCATTAGGATTAGAAGAAGAACTCAATTATTCATATTAATTTTAAATCCTCTAACATCCCATTACTCATTCCACTGTCACTCATTGAAATGAATAACATCAGAACTGATGTATTTTTTCTAGACGTTCAACAGAATATGTCGAGAGTACAAGGCTCTACGCACATTGCTCACCAGCAGTGGTTTCCTCCAGCCCTCGAGGATCCCCTCGACCCTCCCGAGGTTACTGGCCACGACCTCCTCGAATAACACGAGGAAGACATCCTCAGGGCCATCGCAAGAATCATCAGGTTCTGAGAAAGAGCCACCTGGGAATGAAAATGAGCAGAAAACAGCTCTCTTCAAACTTCTGCTGTTTTCGTTATTCGTCTATGGAGTCTTTATTTATCCTATGACGAGCCTGTCTAATAGAATACAGGTATAGTTCAAGTTTAAGGATATCCAAGTATGAAATACTTAAAATAAAATCCTAATTATCGAACATTCTGCATTTTTTTTTTTCATTGAAAATCTCAAGGTCTGCAATTCATTCTTTATTCTGCACCACTAGGAAATATTTCGTAAATTTGGAAATGAATGAGAGTTTATTTTTGACGGAAGTTTCATGAAATAATTGAAGAATTGGAATTTTTGAAGATTACGACCTCTTCAATCAATAATCTATGAACAATAAAATTTCAGAAATATCACGAATTTCGTGTATATTGGCAATTTCACAGAAAATATTTTTTCTACGAAAAAAATTACTTCCTTCGGGAAATTAAATAGCAACTATTATTCATTTATGAGG